TATAAGATAGACTAGGTACTATAAGCTCTTATAGAAACTAGCTATAGCTATAAGTAAAATAGTTACTCTAATAGATTAGAAAACCTTCTTAGCGCATACTAGAAAGGTAGATAGATCTCTTCTAATAAACTTTAAAAAAGAAAACTTTAAAAAACTATACTACTAAAAGTAGTATAACTAAAATTTATTATTAATAAGGTAATAGAGTATATACTCTTAGTAAGAAGAATAGTATACTAAAGAGAGAAGGTAATATTACAAAGGTAGAGAAATAAAGATAAGAAAGAAACAAAAAATTATTTATTACTTAAAAGTAGAGAGTATTATAATAGAATAAAACTTTATAAAAAGATAAAATCTATAGTAAGATAACTAATAGATAAAATACTAACCTAGATAACTAACTAAAGACGCTAATAACACCTTAATTACTAGACTTATAATTATTAAAGCTCTAACTTAGACTATTAAGACTTAACTACTTATTATAATATATCTAAGCCTTCTTTTTCTTAGTATTATTATACTTCTTCTTAAGAGTATAAGACCTCTTAGAAGTAGTATAGAACTTCTACTACTCTAGAGACTTAGTAAATATAGAGATATTATAGTACTTATTCTCTAGATTATAATTCTTATATAGATACTTACTTAAAGTTATTATTATAACGTACTTAGAGGCGCAAATAATATTATAGAGATAATTAGTATTAAGAATAAAGAAGAAAGTAATTATATAGAGCTAAATACTAAATATATTAGTAAAGGTTTTAAAGGTAAGAAGCTATATATAAGTTAGTAAGAAAAATACTAAGAAGAGAGTAAAAAAACTTACTAAAGATTCTATAAGCTACGTATTCTTCTTAGATAAAGCCTAGATAGACTTTATAATAGAAATAAGCTTAGTAAGAAGAGTCTTAGTTAAGACTAGAAAGAGCTTATCAATATAGCTCTACTTTAAACTCTTAGATAGCTTCTTTAGGTACTTATTAAGAAGAGATAAAAAAAAGTTATAGACTAGGTTTCTTATAAAATACAAAAGTATAGAATTATTATATACTAATTAATAAAACTAGTAGATAGTATTCTTAAGCTTAAAAAGTACTTTAAGAAGTTAGCTATACCTAAAAAAAGTAAAAAAAGAAAAAACTTACTATAGTATATTAGAGCTACTTTGCCTTACACTAGTTATAGATCTTATTATTAGACTTATTAAAAACGTAGACTATATACTTATTATCTTCTTCTTTAAAGAGATAAACGTAGTAAATATAAACTTTAGAGACTATTAGCTTCTTACTAATATTCTTTAGATTACTATTAGTATTAAGTAGTATAACCTTATTAATAAAGAAGTTATAACGCAGACGCTTTACTAACTTAGTAGACTATTATATAGATTAGTAAAGCTTATAAGTAAAAGTAAAAGAGTAGAAAAACTTACTAATACGCTAAGAAATTTGCTAACCTTACTAGCGCTATAACATAAGTAGTAGAGTATAATAGTAGTATTAAGCCTAGAAAGTATAGCAGAGGTAGAGTAAGTAAAAAAAAGAGTAATAAAGATAGTAACGCGCAAAGAATAGATATAAAAAGTATTATAGATAAGATTACTAATTTTATATATAATAGAGATAGAGAATAAGTATAATAGGTAGATTCTTATTATAGTGCAGCTTACTTAATTTTCTAGCTAAGGCGCTAGAACGCAGCGCTTAGATAGAAGATTTTATAGTATCTATACTTAGAAAATTATATAACTATAGATTTTATAGCTATATAATATAACGCTTAGAAGAGAAAAGAGCTATTATAATAGGCTACGCCTAGAAAAGTTCTTAGCTAGAAACTTTAAAAACCTAGTCTAGTTTTAGCTAAGCTTAAAAAACTCTTCTAAAGTATATAGCTATCTAGAAAGCTCTTCTTTCTAGGCTATTAAATTTATCTATTACTTTTCTAGCACCTACTCTTAGAGTTAGTCTCTTACAGTTCTCTAGCTTTATTATATACTAATTTTACTTCTACTTTTCTAAAGAGCCTAATTACACTTTCTAGTTAGATAAGAATATTACTTAGTAATACACTATTCTTTACACTACTCTCTTTAGTATAAAACTTAACGTACTAAATCTTCTATTGTAGAAAACATAACTCTTAATCTAGCAGCTCTTATAACTAGTTACAAACTTACTTTAGATAATTACAAAGACTTATAGTATCTACTTAGTTATAGTCTATCTTCTTAGAATTAACACTATTTATAGACTTTAGAGTTAGCTCTAGCGTATTTAGCGCTACTTTATAGTAGATAGTAATATCTTACTAGTATTTATTTATATACTTTTAATATAGTTTAATAGTTATATATCTATAGGTATCTAGACGCAGTAATTATATCTATATAGAGAGAGATTTATATAGTCTATTAGCTATAAAAGACTCTAGTATATCTATAAAAATAATATAATTAAGGTAATAGTATATAATACTCTTAACGTTTAATATATGTCTAACCTAAATACTACTAAGAGCTAGAGGTAGAAAGTAGAACACGTTAGTAACGTCTTAAATAAGAGAGAGAAGTTTATATAAATAGAGTATAGTATTAGTAATAACTAGAACGTAATTATAATTAGAAATATCTACTATAATAATAGTAGAAAGGTCTAGAAATATTCTAAACGTAGAAGTTAGAAGAATTATAAGTATAAAAGTTTAATATATTAGTATTTATAGGCGTCTTTGTTAGAAAGTAGTTTACGTGTTAAGTTAAACGCTAATATAATTAGGTCTACTTATTACTATTAGTCTAAAATTCTAGTTATTTACTATTTAAGACTATACCTTAGAAGATTATATTTAAGACGTTGTAGAATATAATAGTAACTACAAGTAGTTAGTATATTACTCGCTAGCTTATAGAAGTAGTCGCGTTACTAGATCTAGATATACTCTAATAGGCATTTAAATTAATATTTACTAGTAATATAAACCTATTACTTATATTCTAGATCTTTAAGGTTACTCTAAAAGATATAGCCTAGTAAGATACGCTCGAACAGTGTATATAGGCTACTTAGTATAGTTATCTTAAACTAGCTACTATCTAAACATGCTAGGCTTTTATTATAGCTAGTTTTTCTTAGGCTATATAGAATATTACTAGCGGAATATTACTTACTAGGTGCAATTTCTCTATAGAAAGGCTACCTAGTAAGATAGAAGTGCTAATAAGCTATGTACACTAGTTATTAACTAAGTAGAAGAAGTAATAGAACGCTAGGCGTAAAAAGATTAATAATTAGTAGCTGTTATCTATAGTAGTTCTTAATCTAACATTTGTATTAAACACGTAGTTATTCTAAACACTAAACTACTTAATTATTACTAATATGCTAGAGTATCTAAACAACTATATAATAGTAGAAATTCTAGTAACACCTCTAGAGGTCGGCGGCATTAAAGACAACGCTAAGGATATACAAAAGACTAAGTAATTTAATATAGAAGACAACCTTATAGAATTAAAAGATAGAAGAGAGGTAAGTGCGTAAGAGAAGTATAGAAAGCGATAATAGAACAGAGACGGCGAACGGATGCGATAAATAAGAGCAATAGAAGAGAATATTAGTCGACAGAATAAGACTCTCGGCGTAGTGGGTTTAAAAAGGCATTTTATATAGTATTGTTGTTGGCTCGGCTTAAGAGATTACAAGTACTCGTAGCTTAATAATATCTAACGCCTAGGAGGCGTACTAAAGAACGAGCTAATGATATAGAAGATTTAATACATAAAGTTTAAGTTGTTACTTAGAGTTATCTCTATAATTGTAATTCTTGCATAGTACGCTATGAGCATTAGAAAGCCTACTAAGCCTCGCCTAGAGACTGCAGACAGCGAATCTTACTCTATACAAATCCGACATAGACTAAAGGACATGCTGGCACTTAATCGCTGCCTGTGCGTCCTAGGAATTTCTCTTGCCGAATCTCAAGCTAGCTAGGCAATGGCGCTACAGTATGAATGTCGGCTTGAAGTTGTGCGGTAGAATGCCAATTTTTCCGCTATTCTATTAACGTCCACGTACGTCCTTGTGCAACAATTTGGTCTACATCGTGTGCGTAGCCAGTGTCGAAGTTGCATCTAACTAGGGACTTCCCGGAACATATCTCTTGCAAAGCCTCTGGAAAGCCCCTTATGATGAATGCAGCATTCTCTCGAACTATTATCTAATTAAGTTGGCATGACTGTGAATCAGGAGTTTTGACGCACTGCTGATACGCGGATTGCTATGCGGCGTCTCGTTGTAGGACATTGAAGACTTGCGCCGAGGTCTTAGGCGTCGGCATCCCGTCTATGACTAGGTTGAAGGCACCTGCCGGCATGCCTAGAGACGCAAGTGCCAGCGCTTCCATTATCCAGGCAGCAACCCCATTATCGCCCTAGTGTCCCTGACTGATTATGTTCGCCGTTAAGCGGTCGAGTTTCTATTGTTGCATATCTTCGAGTGTTTGGGACTGCAATTCGCACAGCGAAATGGATGCGGCAGGTAGGATAGTTCTCTAAAGGCTGATTCGACGTTCTATATGCAAGTCAGAGTTCTCTTGGCAGAATGGTATCAAGCCCTGACCATGGCACTCAGGCCATGCGACAGACTCATGATCTTCGTGTAGCACTAGATTGCGCATTGCTAGTCGCGTTTCAGCGGGCATAGACTCCAGGAAGCGGATGGCTGCAGTCGCTGCCGAGAACCTATATTGTTCTTGATCCCAATATAGCCACGGTTTGGAATAGCTGGCCTCGACGCATACAGGGTCTATGAGTTCGAGCATATCGGAAATGTCGTCCTCACTTGGGAACATCCATGGTGGATGACTGTACTCTACCACAGGCACCGGATCGGGACTTGGCGTGTATGCGGACCCCTTCCAATGTCGGTCCCGACTTACGGCGTCTTCGAATTCGGGTTTTGCCGCAATGGCTTCCAATGTGGACGCGATGAAATGTCGGGTTTGTGACGGGATCTCCTTCCATTCATTGAGGTTACGACCGATTCCATTGCGTCCAAAACACTGCATTGTCTGAATGGTGGGCAAGAACGCCGAATGGTATTTTTCCACGTAGTCGCATATTGCGCTATCAATGAGACCAGTCCACGGAGCGTGCCATAGCAGATACTTTGCCTTGAGTTGGTTGATGATTATCTGGATCGCGTTGAATCGGCCAGCCCGTTGGCAAAGGTTTTCGTCGCACACGGTCGAGAAGTTGATTGTATTCAGCTTTAGAGCAAGACCACGGGTCTCAGCTGCGACCTGACGGCATGTAAGCCTAAGATCGAGGTCAATCACCTCAGCCTTCGCTTTGAGCAGCTTGTTCGTCTTGTGGTTGTAATGGTACCCATCTTCAAGCGTGAAGTAGTCTTCGTAAATTTGATCGCGCAGTTCGCGGGGAAGCTTGAGGAAGCCTTGCGGTTCGGCCATGTCGCTATTGAGCAAGCGGTTGATGGGGGAGAAAAAAAGGATGTGAAGATGGAAGATGAGCCAAGGGCGACAAAGCTGCGACTTTGCACCTGGGCGGAGGGAGGCAGCACTATGTGCACGTGACATTGACAATGTGGCCTTGCTCTTCGCGTCAGTAAGTACGGAAATGTCGTGCCATGGTACTGAGAGTAACCCTATCATCGCAGAGTTGTCCTCGAACCCCCAGCCGGTAGCGGAGGAGGCCCGGGGTGCAGCGACTAACAGTTCGGGAAACACAACCCTGGAACCGAAAACAGGCAGTAGCTAGCACCAATGATATTATTTCCGGAGTCCTACAGGGTAGCAGGTACGCGGTGGTTCTGGCCAGACGCCTTCGTCGATTTTGTTGGCGCGGCCTCAGAGAAACGTGGAGGAGGGGCGTTGAACCGGATTGCGGCAATCGCCAGTTCATGAAGTACCAAGACGCTAGCCACCGAGGTAGCTAGCTCAGGATGACCCCTATATCCCCGCGTCGCGATCGCGCCGGATGGCCGCCACCTAGGGAAAACAAAGCTTAGAAGGCTATATTGCCTTGACATTTCACAAAAACCTATATTAAAAGTGATGTAGGCTGCAAGACACCTATTAACTCTCTCCCTCAAAGGGATGCCGCGATCGCTTTCCGGTGACCCACGTTTGAGAGCTTTGTATTCTTTACATTCGTGACAATCCGTTCACGGCAGTCATGCAAGGTCTTTCTGCTAAAAGTCATTGACATTCATCATTTGGATGCGGTCTCGTGGCTGGTGAGTTACACGAAGACGTCTATTGCAGTACCAGCACTAATTGTTCGACACCCCGTTCTTGTATCTCATCAGGAAAATTACTCAAATCCGCCCTCTACGCATTCGGAAGTCATACTATACATTACCAAAGCCTGCGACTGTCACCTCAAAAACCAATTGAATGCAGAATGAGATGATTGCGTTCTCATACGCATTGTCGTTGCCCACGAGGCCCGAACCTATACTCCAATGACTTCCTTCGCATGTTTAGCGAAGCTCTCGGTCGCTGATAAGTTCACGCAAATACCACCGACGCAAAACTCCATCTTCATGGCGCCTGAGCATCAAAGATACGAGGTTCGTGCTTACTCCATTGCTCCTCCCATACCTTCATCGACCACTCCTGAGCAGCCTGCCTTATGGAAGTTGAATAATCGATACTAGCGAGGCTGAAGTTACAGCTCACGATGGACGTACCGTCAGCAATCGCAGCGAGAGCTTCCGGAAATCCTCTCATCTGGTAGCTGGCGTTGCGCCTCGTTTCGAACCAGCTCATCTTGTTGTGATGATCTGCGCGATGCTCTTCGAATACTGTCTGCCATGCGGCATCTCGCTGCACGATCTTGAACACTTCGGAGCTCCTCTCAGGTATTGGCTGCCCGTCGAACACCAGCTTGAAGCATTGAGGCGGCATGCCTAGATTGTCAAGGGCGAGCGCCTCCATGATCCATGGTGCTATGCAAAATCTGGTGATATACTCAGCCCGCAGTAGACGCAAACGATCTTGGCCACGATAAAAGCCGTTCATTCTGGAAGCACCGGCGGGAAGCGCATTTCTCCACAAATCCACTCGTCGTTCTATTCGAAGTGCTCCATTCTCCCGACAGTAGGGAAGCAAGCCTTGGACGTGGCACTCGGGCCAAGCAGCAGCCACATGGTCCTCATCCAAGAGCACACGACGAAAGCGGCATCGTATAGATGCAGGCATTGACGAGAAGAAGCGGACTGCGGCCGATGCCGCGGAGAAACTGTATTTAGTTCGTTCCAGGATTCTAGGGAGGAATGAGTCATTGTCCAGACTACGCCTTATGTTAGCTATTTCGTTGCTGTCCGGTATAAGCCAAGGTGAGTGTTCCAGTGAGACAACCCCAGGGACTTCGTGGTTCGAGCCTCCCATCTTCCAATCAGCATCTTCCAGAAGGGTCTCTAAAGCCCGTATGACGAAGCGGCGGTGGAGCGACGGAGCCTCACCCCAGGAGGCATTCGTACGATCATCGACGCTGATTACTCCGATGTCGCGAAGTTGGCTGATGACGGGCAGGAATTGTGGAAACTCTGCTTCCAATCTGTTGCAGCTGTCCTGGTCGATGCATCCGCGGAATGCTCGTAGTAGGCGTGACCTGCTGTCTTCGTCCCTAAGCTGCATGTAGTGATGCTGTCCTGCATGATCTGATGTAGCTTCGTTGTATAATGTAGAGAATTTGATGGTGTTGAGACTGAAAACAAGACCATGCATCTCGGCAGCGGCAAGTTTGCAGGTATACAAGAACTCTAGGTCGATGGGAGTGCCGTCCATCTCGGTGAGTCTGTTCGTCTCATAATGGTAATGATACCCGCCCGGAGCTGTAAGGTAGTAGCCATACACTAGATTGCGCAATTCGGAGGGAAGTGCGAACAACTTAGACTGCGACTGTCGGTTGGGCACGGAAATGCCATCCATCGTATGCGGCGAAATGGGCATCGGGTGCCGCGGTATTTGTAGATATGTCGCAAGGTGGGTAATGGGGGTTATTCTTAAGGTTTGCATTGACGAAGGTTAGAGAAAACGTTTTTTTGGGCGTTCGTGTCCTCTGGTAGAAGAACTTTTTAAGTAGACAGTACCTCCCCCATCTTTGGGAAGGCAACCACCTCGCCACGTGAGTCGCAGCCTGGCACATGATCTCAACAACGAAGGCATTAATGTCGCTATGCGACAGTCAATTTTCTTGTGGGTCAAGAACAGTTTTCTCGATGAGGTCTTTTCTGCAGATACGTACATACCCGCCAGTCAAACAGCATCTTGCGCGCACAAAGGTCTTCAACAATACTGCATGTTCCGACTCGCGCAGTTTTGGCAGGAACGCACCGTCTTTGACCAGAACCAGGCTGACGTAAGCTCCAGTTACATCTAGCGGAATCATCTCCGACTAGCTGTACGCTCATCCTAGTCGCACCCCATGTAGCGGTCAGCTTTTAGAGCGGCTCCCAGGGGAATTAAACCTTATTGCAACTCGCCCAGCCGGGCAGATACCCAAGGGTGTGGATCCGAGATCTTGTTCCGTATTACTTCCACGCGTACTGTCCGTGACTTGAAGTTCAAAGAAGGCGGTGGGATGTCTAGTCGGACCCGTGGACATGTATGACCTCTTCGGTCGGCCGTCGTTGCTGCGCTTCATCCAATGTGTCGCGCGCGACCAGAGGGCTAATGTCTAGTATCAGTTAAAGGCATTGTCAATGCACATGTCTTACTCTTGGGTTTGGAAGGTTTAGGGTACTAACAAGTTGGCTATTTTGTTAATCATCTTCTTGACTTTCCTCTTCGTCTAAAGCACGCGGATATCCGGATTCTCACCACTCGGCGCACGGTATGCCAGCTTCGAAAATGGGCCGGAGACTTCGTAGTTTAACGGGCGCATTCGCTGCGCTTACGACATTGTTCTCGTCAGCTTCCGCGATTCCATTTGGCGTAAAGATCTATTCGTGTACGACACCAGGAGTTATCGCGCCGGCTTTCGACGATGGGCCATCATTTTACTCGGAGGATATCCTTGACCGGTACGGATACTCTCACAGTGTGGGAGTGGAATTTTTTGTGTGCTGATTTGGGATCTTAGAATGGGAGCAGCAGGCTTCAAAGCAACCTGGTTCATTAACGGAGATAACATGGGCGATCTATACGACTACAACGCGACGTTACGCAGAATGGTCGACATGGGCCATCAGATCGGGTCGCATACGTACGTTCTCCCCCTCCACTTCACAAACTTCACCCATACAAGAACATCAGCTAATCGCAATACCAGATGGAGTCACGCCAACCTCTCCTCTCTCTCCCCCACCGCCATACGCGACGAAATGACACTCCTAGAAGACGCCATGATGAACATCCTCGGCTTCTTCCCATACTACATGCGCCCGCCTTTTCTCTCCGCAGACAGCCAAGCTCTCAGTGTGTTGAAGGAACTCGAGTACCACGTCATCATCGGCGACCTCAACACCAAAGACTGGAAATACCAATCCGCCGATACAATTGGCGAAGCGAAGAAACTGTTTGATCTGGGCCTGGAGAGGGGGTATAGCATCGTCGAGGCGCACGACCAGGAAGTTTGGACGCAGGGCGAATTGATTGACTATATGATCAAGGTTGTGCGGGAGAGAAATATAAAGAGTGAGCCCGACCACATCCTCGCCCTCTTTCCCTACCAGCATGAGCTAACAACCCCACCACAGCCGTAACAGTAGCAGAATGCCTCGGCGAACCCTCACCTTCGCAATGGTACCGCACCGCCCGCCTCCCATATCCTCTCACAAGATCCAGACTTAGCTGCCAAACTCCCTTCGCAAAGTGCGATACCGCAGACGACAGCATTCCATGGGAGAGGATTACTCCCGATTTGACGTGTGGGAATGAGAAAAAGGGGAAGGGGAAGGGGTATATATGCCGGACGGGGCAGTGTTGTAGTAGACATGGGAATTGCGGGATTGAGGAGGCGTATTGTGCGGTGAATAAGGGTTGTCAGGAGGACTTCGGTGTTTGCAAGGGCTGAAGAAACGTCGTTGGATTGTAGTCTTTGATAGCCGGATGGTGATTCAGGGAGTTGTCGGATCCAGCCGTCAACGTCTCAGGCGGACACACCATCCGCATCTTCGTCGTCGTCATCGAAAGCTTCGTCGCGCCAACCAGCCGCGCCAGACATCGCGAGGATACGCTGAAGGTGCCACTGCAAAGCGAGCAGGCCTACAGCCTACATCAACATAGAAACCTGCAAAGTAGGTGACCTAACGTCGATGTAGGCTCCTGGCTTGCTCGTCACTCGGTCCGGGCTCTTTTCTTAAAACGCGCTCCTTGGATAAATGTGGACCTAAAGATGGGTGTACGAAGTCAGTTGTTGTCTCACATACAATTCGTACAGGAATCTTACTAACCGCCTCTGCACCCTTTGTCCTTGATACGGCACAAAGGTTGCCGTCTCGATCTTTACAGCGAGCTGCGACAACCGCTGATCTTCCAAGGCTGGCCTCTTGGTCGCCCTCACTTCGTCCTGATCTTGTCCGCGATGCCTTTCCGGAGGCGGTATGGGGGCGGGAGACGGATGCGACGGCGTTGGAGAATGCGACGTCGTTCTTTACTTCTGGCTTTTGTTGCCAGAGCCTTACGGCATCCATCGCCGCGTGCGAAAGATTGGTCCCTCGCTTCCAAGCATCATCAGATGCTGCCAATTTCTCCACGAAGTCTAGGTCGGCGAACTGGCAAAACGCCCAAAGCACGCGATCGATCTCGATAGTGCTATGCTCGGCTTCGATCTTGTCGAAGGCGGTTTGCCGTTCTTGCGACCGCATACCGAATCGCTCTTCGTCGCTCTCCGGTCGTACGCTCGTCCATCCAAAGTTTGTGGCGTCCATAGTAATGTGTATGGTGATCTTTAAAAAAGAGTAAGCGGACTTGACTGTGCTGTGCAGAAAAGCTTGCGTCCTAGAAGTCGGGTACCAAGAAGATTAGCACAGTCAGGTAGTAGCTACAAAGGTAGTGCCTACCATGGTACCTCATCTCATGGAGTTGATGATAGGAAAGCGTCTGGCCAAACATGCGAACCGCCCCAGCAGATTAAACCACCAGCGAATGTGTCGAGTGGCCGTCGCATTGTTTCTGTTCGTAGAGTGTTGTTGTGGTTGTAGACAGGTGAGTGCACGACTGGACGGCTAGGGAAGTCATGCAATGACGCCATGACGCCATCGCCCGTAAGGTAGCCGCTCCTGGTACCCAGATAGTAGCAACGGCCCGCAGACACACTGGAACACAACCTAAAGCATAACACAGGGTATCTTCTATACAGTCTATTAGGATAATTCGCAAAATGCTAATATGCTAGTTTTATATAAAAGCCCGCCCGTACTCGCCTAGAAAGGCTCGCTCATTCCACATCCTTGGCATGCCATCCGCATTTATGGTCGTCGTCATTATCGAAGTCTTCGTCGCGCCTACCAGCCGCAAGCCTACATCGCGAGAGTCCGCTGCAGGTGCCGTCGCAACGCACATCCTGGAGCCTACCTCGACCGTAGGTAACCAAAACTACACGTTTCCATGTTGATGTAGTCTGCGAACTTGTTTGGTTTTCTTCTCGTGTAGGGTGTGTATTTGTGTAGCGCTTGAGTGGCCAATGTTCTTTAACTCATTTGGTAAAAGGTCGTTGATCGAAAAACAGCATGCTATGCCACCGCTGTCGATCAGTTGCGGACAGCTGTTCTTGTGGTACAGAACTAGGCCACGAGCATTTGAGAGTAGAAGGACGTCATCGAATATACTGGAAGGTCCTTGTTCATACAGCCGAAGAGAAACAGGTCTTCTGCGTGCCAATGTACACCAAAGTATCTCCACTGAAGTAGATGAAGAGCCGTCTCTTTGTAATCGCAGTTTCTGAACGCCTGACCGATCATCGCGTGTTCGCGGCGATCGTCACTTTCGCTTCTCACGACTACCATCATGGGGCTTCCGTCGCTCAGAAATCCTTCTTCACTGAAGAGCACCCAGTCGGACGGTCTTGTTTCTGCTGGTGCATATGCAAACACGCGTTGCATGTGATCCAGGATTTCCACATACACAATCTCGGAGTTGGATCCGCGTATCGTTGCCTGCGCTGAACAATACAAATAGCGGAGTGATAAGCCACCTGGTGTTGGGAGCTTCTTCCCGATACTAGTACTGCCAAGCAATTGAACCCCACGCCACATATCTCGTGGATGGATAATACATTCTCGATACCACGTTGTGCGTTCATAGTCCAGTGTTGAACTAGGAAGGTATACCATATGATGACTTAGGGGGGGACTGGAATATCCAATAGGCTTGGGATCAAATACTGTGTCGTTCATCGACGAGAAGGTGTTCAGCAGGATCTGACTACCAAACCGCTTGGTGATCGCCAGTTGTATTGCTTGGTCCTCAACATTGACTTCGAAAAGTTTGCATAGCCGACGAGGCCACTCAATAGCCACTCCTGCAGTCGGCTCAGTCTCGAGATTCTGGAGATATAATTGCAGTACCTCTATGGCAACTTGGTAATTGCTCTTGCTGTAGTCTGGCAGAGGACGGTTACCACTTCTCCACTCAACCAAAGCCAGAACACCAAACAGTCTATCGCGAACGTCCGTGCATTGAAAGTTCTGCATGGCGTCTAGCACCTCTGCCAATCGACGGCGTCTTCGCGAACCAGAAGCAAGAGTAAGACAGCCGCGTTGAGCTTCTAGTTTGTGGAAGCTTTCTTCCAGTGTCAGCCAGGAGGAACTATGCCGGCGCGAAAACCAAGGTAGAAGAGAGCATTTGTCTGCGATATCTGAGTCCCGATTGCTTGCCTGATCTCTCTGTTTGGGGTTGTTGATCCACGAATCTATCAGCATACTTATAGCCAGGATATATCCGAACGGACATCGGTCCATGCCACAGCAAAGCGTGGCGTTTGAAGCCATATACAGTTCTTGCAAGATCCAGACTCTCGAAAAGTATGGGCGGTTCATGAGGGCGATGAAACCCTTCGCTAGCGCTTCCCGTTGACCGGGATCGTAACTCCAAGACCAGTAACCGCTCTTCGTAATAGGATTGGGCATCACCCAGTAGTCTGCTTTTTTGATGGCATGCTGTCGAGTGACTTTGTGGAGCTCGGAAAAGAAGTACTGATGATCATCGATGGCGCGAAATAAAGACAAACTATCGTCCGTGTGTGGCCCGACACATGCAAATACATGTTTCGATCTTGCATAGATCTTCCCCATCATTCCCACTTGATGACTCTTTTCCAGTGTAGTGGTTTGGTCAATGCATAGAGCGTCCATCCAGAAGTAGCAGCTCTTCTTGGATGCATGCGCCTGTTTGAGTGCATTAACGCAGTTCTGGCCTGCGGGGAAGGCGCATTCGTTGATGTAGAACCAGTGGATTGGGGTTGGTGAGCCCCATGTATATCTAACACAACAAATAGACGGTCAGTATGAATCGCATAGCCGATTTGTTTGCGAAAAGAAAACGTACGATATAGCATAATAATCAGGAGCTACTGCAAGAGGCCATGCGTTCAGAAGACAGTATACGCGACCATACCTATCGACCTTCTGGATTTCCAACAGTCGTATGTGTGTGGTCGAATCCTGGAGTGGTTCGTGCTTGAATTCTGTGTATGATGGTGTATCCATAGTATATAGGGAATAGCCACTACACCAGTGAACGCGGGAACAGTCGATTTGGTCGCTTCGATATCGTGCTTGTCCGTGTTGCAGGAGAGAACCAGGCGTGGTCAGGATTTCAACGTACGTGCCGACGAAGAGGACAATTTGCTTTTGAAACTAGTTGTGGCCTGGTCGCGATTCGAGCCGGTCATTGAAGGTGCATGTTGGTATGCGGAACGATTGCAAGAGCTTTGAGCAAACATTCCAGGCCGGTGAAGAGGTTCAGCCTCGTGGGCTTGGCGTTGCTGCGCAGCGCTGCGCAGCATACGGAATGTACATGATCCGCGATGATGGAACCAATGAAACAAAGATGGGGATTCGGCAGCAGGGGCTGAGGCTATTGGTGAGGCTTGTGTACGGGTGGTGACACCCGCGGACCGCGACAGCAGATTAGGCCACCAACATGTGTAGCCTCATTGACGCACTGACTGAACGCGACAAGTTCCTTCTATATGTCAAAGGGCAGATTTGAGAGGCTCGCCGCATCATTTCAATTCGTCGAGTGTTCTTGTGTGGTGGTGGTGGTGGTGGTGACGGTTGTAGATGTTGTTGTCGACAGGTGTGGTGAACCAGTCGCCGGCTAGGATCACATGAGGCATGCGGTGACGCAGCAATATCGCCTGACGAGGCAGCAACGACCCACATACCGCATGCACGACGACAGGTCAATCTGAAAAAACAATTCAGAACTACAGCTCAGATTAACTCTAGGTTATTAACTTTGCATGGCTTAGTCTTTTTTAGACGAGGTGCGCACATGGGAGATCAGTCAAGAGCGCAACACAGGGTATCTTTTATACAATCTATCAGGACGAGTCGCCAAATGCCAGGATGCCAGCTGTGCAGCGGCGTAGCCTAACAAGGCTCAGCCACCACAACCTCTCCAAAACACCGAAGGAAATCTATACAATCGTACCAACAAGCTTACTTATGGCCGATGAATCTCATGTCAACACCTAAAAAGACCCGATATTCCCCTTACTATACATAGTCTGCCTCCTCTTATGATGCATCCCCTGCTGTCCCCTAACCCCATTACTCAGCCCAATCCCATCCCCCAAAATCCCATTACCACCAACTTTCCCCTTCCTAACCGCCCGTCGTTTCGCCTCCCTCCTCTTCAACTTCCCACTCCAATGCCTAATCTTGCGCAATATGCGATCAGCCATGAGCACCAGTAGTGTAACAACCATAACCGGCACCGCAATGACCCAAAAGAAGGCGTCGGAGTGGTGTTGCACGCCGTTGAATCGCTCGAAGTTTTGTCCGAAATATCCGACGAGGAAAGTAAGCGGGAGGAAGAAGATGGTTACGGCGGTGAGGATTTTCATGGATTCGTTTTGGAAGGCACCCATCATGTTGAAGATTAGGTCGATGAGGTTATCGGCTGCGCGACGCATTTGGTCCAGGGAAGCGGTGATCATGATGCAGTGGTCCTCCACATCACCGAGGTACGTATGTGCGAGGGGGCTGATGTTGATTTGCGTCATGGTTTTGCGGGTAGCGAGGTTAGCGGTACTCTGGCTCATCATGGTGGCTTGGGCCATGGGATCAGCCTTGTGATCACGCAGAGAGTTGATCAGAGAGACAATAGGCTGGATGGTGTTGCGGAGGATGGAGAGTTCAGAGGTGAGTAGATAGAGAAGTTGGGAGTGGTGCAGCTCGGGGTCTTCGAGGACGTCGAGTTCGAGCTCACCCATTGCGTCTTCGTAGGCGGCTACGACGGGGATGGCGAGATCGACTATGGCGTCGATTATGGCTTGCACTATCATGCTGCTGTCTTGGCTGCGACGCAGGATGGTGTCTTCGGTGCGGAGACGCTTGAGTATCATGTCTTCGACGTCGTCGGCGGAGTGCTCGAAGAAGGAGATTACGGAGTTGTCGGCGAGGAGGAAGATGCTGACTTGCTCGACGCTGACGGTCAGGTGCTTCTCGGTGAGGGCAGAGTGCTGCTCGAGGTATACGATTCGATCGAGATTGTAACCGCCTCGGTAGCGTTGGAGGGTGCGCACGGCGGTGGTGGCAGGCGGGGTGGATATCTTGACTTTCTCGAAGGGCGTGTCGTCGAGCTGCTTCTCTAGGTTGTCCAATGCGCTCATCATCTCATCCTTGCGTACCTGCTTCTTGGCTTCGCTCTTGGGGAAGAGCAGGTTCTTCGCTTTCTTGTACAGCGACTTCTTCTTCTCTTTCTTCTTCTGAGGGTGCCGCGATCGGGAGCGGGAGCGAGCCTTATGCCGTCGTCGTTCGCTGTCGTCGGAATCTGAGTCAGAGTCGCTCTCGGAGTCCTCGTCCATGGGCGTCCGCACGAGTTTGGACAGCGTCAGGAGCAGGAAGGCCTGATCGGAGTACCAGTCCACCTTTGTCCTGCTCTGGGTGCTCATCAAGTCCTCAATGGCCAGCCTGTGCAGGTTCTTGTGGTTTCCCAAAGAACGAATCACGTCCCATGACAGGCCGTTGACGTTGATCCACCGACAGGCCACCCAGTCTTCCTTTGGGTAGTTGAGAAAGTCCTCCAAAGTATCGTTGTCCAGCTCATGGCACTCGACCTTTTCGTCGGAGAAGTCTACGACGGTGATCTGGCATCGCGCGTAGAGGTGGTGGTAGTTGGCGCCGTCGGTCTCGTTCTTGGTGTCGACACCGGGCTCAGCGCCGGGTTCCTGGTGCTGGTACGGGCGCGTCGGGGACTGGTAGTGCTTGACGGTATGCGATCGCGTTATGCGTCGGCGCAGGGTCGAGTCGACTGAGAAGCGGTCAGGGGAGAGAATGTCTTCCCGGTTCGTCGATGCTGCAGTCGCCGTAGTCGCAGTTGCCGAGCGGCCGCGACTTCTCTGCTCGTTGAACTGGGTATCGATAGTCAGATGTGGAGGGGCAGCCGAATCTGAGGCAGAGCGCTCTGGCTGGTCGGGCGCGGGTGGAGCGGATGCGAAGTCTTGGACTTTTGTCTCATGAGGAGAGGCGGCCATCGCGTCCGAAATCCGAAACTGTGGAGCAACGGGGTTGGTTAATTATTCAGGTTAACGAGAGTGAGGAACGGAATGCTGCAGCCATTGGTATGGGAGCGCGCGTTGACTGGTGGTTGGGGGGTTCTCCTTTGCAGCCCACGTTGTGAGATCGCAGCGACCTCTGAGCTGCGCGAGTTTCATGTGCCCAGTGGCCTTCACCATGACGGGACACTCTGTAAATACGGGACTGCAAAGACCATGTGCACCCCGCAGAACTATTCGGTACCACTTCACCTCCGTCACAATGTATTTCGGCCGTAATGCGTGAATTGCTCGCACGTTGAGTCAGATGCGTCGAGTCCGTAGTGGTAACACAGCATGCGAGGCCCAAGGAGAGGGCCGCCTTTGTCAGCAGGCTTGGTGGCATCGTGCAGCTGGCCGGCGCCCCACGCAGCCATCTCGAGTGCGGCCGAAAGATGCAGGCGCCAACAGACGCAGCTTCAGTAGTCACAGTTCGCTGGCAATGCAGTGGGGGGGCAAGTTTCAAGGGTTCATGGCATTGGCAGAGGTAGAGGCAAGGGCGCCACCTGTGGCGTGGAGACGTGTGAGGGAATTTGGGCGGTAGAGGGACTCGTGGACGGCGGGGACAGGCGCCCGTGACATGTCGCTACACGTGCTGACGGTCCTCGAGGAGTGTGCATCCCAATCACTTCAGTAAGCTACACTTGCTGTTGAGTGTCTAGCAGAGGTGCAAGGTGAGCAGTCATTTCGGTGCTCTCTTTTGCCCGTAGCGCATGAAATTAGCGGTTCGAGGCTACCCTTCTGGGCGGTCGGTGCCAATCCTTAACAGTGGGACTAGCTGCTCCACTGCCCATGACCTCTCACCCGAACCGCCTCTCTACATCCCATTCATCGCCGACAGCCTCATCCAGCATACCATAGCCCAGCCTTAGCACCCGTACCCGTAGAGCGACACACGAGACGACAGCAGTGTTGCGCGGCCCCACTGCGACGCCAGAGAGCGCTCTTGCCTGCCAGCCAGCGGCAGCGAAGCCATCCTGGTCCCCCTAACAACAGCAAACACGCCTCATCTCCGCCCATCACCATCCCTTTCCACCGGCCTCTGCTTTGGTTATTCCCCCCAACAGCCGTGATAGCCCCGTCTCGTCCGAGTCCGGCTGAGGTCCGTCGTCACCGCGTTGTCGGGTTCCTTCCGCCCTCGAGCACACGTTTGCTGCGAAGCGCCGTCTGAGCACCACCTGGGCAACTCTGAGCACACCACCACACGGGCCCCTCTATTGCGTCCGAGCCTGAAGCATCAACAAACAACTGGCTGCTTCTGCTCTCACCCCAAGCTCCGCTGTTTGCTCCCTCCCAGCCTGCAGCCAAACCCACCTGCTTGCTGCCCACCACATGCGACACTAGTCCTGCACCTCTCCACCACCCAGCTCCCGCCCATCCACCCAGCCACGGCACCACACAGCTCCAAACATGCGCGAAGTCAACTTCAGCATCCCCAACGCCAACAAGGCGTCGGTCGGCATCACCACCGCCCTCTATGACCGCCGCGCTCTCGACTGCACATCGACCCTCCCGCTCATCAACTCGCTCAACCACCTCGCCTACCTCACAACCTCCTCGGCCCGCATACGGGACATTCTCACCGTCGATGGCGGCATCGAACGCCTGATATGCATCCTCAAGGAGGGCCGGAGCAAGGACATGATGGACATGTGGAAGTGGAACCTTGCTTTCCAATGCATCTTCAACATTGGCGTACGCGGCTCCGAGAACGTCAGGACGCGTGTGGTTGAGGCCGACATGGTGCCCGTCATCGCCTCCATTCTCGACAACTACATCAAGGTCGTCGATAAGATGCGGGCACGCGCTGAGGTTGAGTTCAACAAATCTGCACGTCTTGGTGCATCGAGCCGACACCACTCCTCGCGGACCGGCGAGGTTGCGTCGAGCTCCTCACACCGAGCTGATCGATCACGGCGCATCATCCCTCCTCCCATTGAGATTCCACAGCCGACAGACGCACCCTTGGCTGACGCGACGCCCATTCCCGCCTTCTCCCTGAGCTCCCCTCCCGAGCGGACGACATTTGCACGCGGCCGACCTCCTCATCACCATCACCATCGCAGCCACGAAAGCCGAGCACAGCTGTTTGGCGCTCCCGGCAACAACACCCGCAACCTCGGCCAGCCATTGGTCACGGCGTTACCCTCCATGGAGGCAACACCTGATGCGTTTGCGCTACGGCCGGTGCGAGATGCGGATCGCCTTCCTTCCATGCTCCCCGCCCTGCAAGGGGAGATCACTTCCCAACCAGAGTCACCGACAACACCGAGCGCCCCACAGGCACGCCAGACGAGCCCAAGAGCGGGGCTAGCCCGGACGCGCCGCCGACCATCCATCCGACACCAGCTGTCTGTATCTGGCGAGTCGGACCTCGAAGCACAACAAGATGACATGTCTGCAGAGGCTGCAACAGCGGCGGGTCCGTCTGTGAATGAGCCAATCGTCGGCATTCAGAACAATGAGATCAATATGGCCGACATCGTCGACAACGCAGAGATGCTGGATGCTGGCAACACACCAGTCCCCATCGCTGCTCCGTCGGAAGGCACAGACGAGAATAACGAGACCTTCAATATTACTCACCGTCCAGCGCTCGATGGCAGTCTAATCAACCCCACCAACACCCCGCCGAACAACCCCATCACCGGGTTCTCCCCGATGCCACCGACCATCAACGTCGTGAACACCAACCCACCGCCTCCCTGGCTACCAAGATACCAGCAAGAACGCAATGCGTCAGCTAGCGTGCTCGCAGCCATGCCTCGGGACGAAGACGTGCTCATGTCTCTACAACTACTCGCATACGTGTCGAAATACTGCAACCTCCGGTCCTACTTCCAGAACTCCCATCTGGTGCCTAAACTCAAGATCGGCACCGAGCTACTTGACGGAGAAGCCTCGACACCCAAGGCAGAGGAAGAAGAGGAGGAGCTGGAGGAATACGAACTTCCAGACGATTTTAACATCTTCCCTCTGGTTGAGCAGTTCACCGTACGACATCACTCGTCCGACATGCAGTACTGGGCCAGCGTCGTTATGCGCAACCTATGCCGGAAAGACGACTCTCGAGGCGGCATCCGACAGTGCGCATACTACAAGTGCGGCAAGTGGGAAGAATACACCCGCCAGTTCGCCAAGTGCCGTCGGTGCCGGCGGACCAAGTACTGTAGCAAAGAATGCCAGAAGAGCGCCTGGGTTTTCCACCGCCACTGGTGCGTTGCTGCATCGTAGGACACGCGAAGCAGTCCTTCTTCTCTAATCCTCTTTTACCAATCATCGCCAGCTTGGTTCTTCATCATCTGGCTGCATATTGCATGGCGCTGGGCACACTGCTTTTTCTATGTCTTTTCTTATAATCTTTCAAAGGTGCAATACTTAATGAGCGACACGACTACCGGATACCACAAAGCAAGTTCCTACTACTACTCAGAATGGCTTCTTCTTTGGCAGCGGAGGAAGGAGGAAATCTAAGGGGGTTGAAGACTTGTGAGAGTGAGAATGAGAGAGAGAGTTGGGCCTGCAAAGGCGAAACCGAGACAGTGAGGGAACGAAACTATACCATATCATTTGGAGCGAAGCATTATTAGCATATTGGTCGTAAAAAGCCAGGGTTCTGGAGTAGTGAGTAGTGCGTTTTTGGTGCAATTGAATGGCAAATGCATCTTGGATAGTTTGCATCTGTTCTTCGAAGCGTATGCTCTTGTGAGCGAAGTTACCTGCATCTATAATCGAGATAGAACTAATACATCATGAACTTCACACAACTATTTTGACTGCTATCGTTGCGTCAACTAAACGTGATTGGTGGGACATCAGCTGCACACTTAAGCCATATGTGATACGTTGCGTTCGCGCCAGCCCGGAATGCAACCTCGGGACCCAGAGCAGCGGGGTTAGATCTTCCTTTTTCGCTGATCGATGAACTGCAAACTGTGGAAGAAGCAGACATGCTCTGGGAAGCGCGCATATGCAGGCTCCCGGGTGGGTGGGGGACGATCTGAGGTGGACGCCTTTCTCTCGATTGGATTAGTTCTAGAATAGAATAACGTGTGGACTACAGAAGAAGCATATGTGCTCTCTACGGTAGCGCTCATATGCAAGCCCCAAGCCCACTCAAGAGGGGAGACGGCACTACTGCGATGGGGGCGGAGCTGGAGTTGGTGGAGTTAGCCCCAGCTACGTCAGTCCTAAAATAGCCTGGGGAGCTGCATGGATGGGCATCATGTGGTGGGCTGAAGGAACAGGGCTGCCCAGATGGACCGGGGACCTTGGTACTGCCCGCGTTGCTCGCGCGTTTTCGAATGAACGACAGGGAAGGGTACTGTTTGCGCCCTGCTTGCACCTATGTTTGCGCACCGCAATGTGATTGCTGTAATTCGCATTCGTATCGATTATAATATCGCCGGCGCCGCGTAAAGCCCAAGACGCAAAGGCCCCCAGCGCGGGCATCGACGTCGTAATACCCGCGTGGACAAGCCGCTAGACCGGACTCTGCGGGAAAGGCTGGGGATTTCCTTCGATTGCAACACCCTTCTGTAGGACAGCAGCGTACACGACAATAGGGAATGACTGGAAATCATGTCGCAGCCTGGAGATGCTTCCGATGCATCGAGTGCTGGGATTGGAGGTAGCGGAGGAGTAAGAAGGCGTCATTCCGCATCCCACGACGAGGATGGCCTGGCACCCACGACACAGAGCGCAAACCCTCCGTATGCGATCGAGACACCCAGAGACGGCGACGATGCGCCACGATCGAGGACTTCGGCGGTGGAAAATACGGCACGCCCGTCGATTGCGCGCCTGACAACTGAAGAGTCGCCGCGCGTTCGCTTCTCGACGGATATCGAGCGCAATGGCAGGGACGAAATTGCACACATTGGGAAGAGTTCTGGCGGCAAGCAAAGACCTGGAACGCCAGACTTGTCCATAAACACGCGCGAGGTCTCTCCAGAAGATCACGCTGAGGCTTCATCTTCACGTTCACAACTACCACCACGGAATGGCGCCTCTCGATCGCCGCTCTCGCCCACTTCTCGCAACCGTGGATACTCGCTGCGCAGTGCGCTTTTCCGGAGAAACGTCCACGACACGGCGCAATCACCGGATACACAAATTGAACTGGAGGAGGGCGTTGGAAGGTCACAACCTACGATGGGACAGGCAGAAGGCTCCAGTGGACATGCGCCGTCGCGCAAGTCTGGGGATGCCGTCATCACTGTCACGCCAGAGCATTTGGACTACGCCTCGTCAGCCTCGGATATCTCAAAGTCGAAGTTGGGGGAAGGGCCAATCGCACTTCCCTGGTTGGAGAGCAAGGGTCCAAGCCGGCGATCACAAATAGTCAAACAGACGAAGGATCTCGCAGAGCAAGCCCGCAAATTCGTTTTCCGCATCAAAGATGTCCCACCCAGCAAAGACGGCCGACACATCAACCTCGATCCCACGCGCAAAGAACCCCTCACGGACGAACGTACCGAGCAACCCTACACCAGCAACTGGATACGCTCCACGCGCTACTCAGCATGGAACTTTATCCCCCGCCAACTCGTCGCGCAATTCTCCAAACTTGCCAACTTTTACTTTCTTGTTATTTCCATTTTGCAAATGATACCCGGGCTTAGTACGACGGGCCAGTTTACGACGATAGTGCCGCTGCTGTTTTTTGTTACTCTTTCCATCGCGAAGGAAGGATACGATGATTTGAGGAGATGGAGATTGGACAAGGCGGAGAACATGAGAGAGGCGAAGGTGTTGCGTTCCAGTCCTGGTTCTGAGTCGCTGCAGTGGGAGACGATCAAGTGGCAGGATATCAATGTTGGTGATATCATCAAACTTGAGAGGAACGACGCTGCGCCTGCGGATATGGCGCTTCTTCATACGAACGGGGAGAATAATGTGGCGTTTGTTGAGACGATGGCGCTGGATGGGGAGACGAATCTCAAAAGCAAACAAACGCCTGCTTCCATCTCCAAGACCATCATCGATCAGGAGGATGTCTTGAAGACGAAAGCCGAGTTTGTTGTCGAGGATCCGAACCGGGACCTGTACAGCTTCGAAGGTCGTGTGATGGTCGACGAGAAGCAAGCGCCACTGACTCTCAGCGAAATCATCTTCCGAGGCAGTATCCTGCGGAACACACCCGATGCGATCGGCATGGTCATCTACTCCGGAGAGGAATGTCGTATCCGGATGAACTCGAACAAGAATCCCCGCATCAAAGCACCAGCTCTGCAAGGCCTCGTTAACCGCATCGTTATTCTCATCGTGGTCTTCGTCATAGCTTTGTCCATCTTTAACGCCGTGGCCTACAAGATTTGGCAAAAAAACGAGGACGACATGTGGTACCTCCGCGGTTCTTCCGTCGCCTTCTTCCCCAGTTTCACATCCTTCATCATCATGTTCAACACCATGATTCCACTGTCACTATACGTCAGTTTGGAGATTGTCAAACTGGCGCAGATGTTCTTTCTGCACACCGACATCGACATGTACGACCCCATCTCCGATACGCCGTGTGAGCCGAGGACATCAACAATCAACGAGGAACTTGGTCAGATCAGCTACATCTTCTCGGATAAGACGGGTACGCTAACGGATAACTCGATGAAGTTCCGGAAGCTAAGTGTAGCGGGTGTGAGCTGGTTGCATGATGCTGATCTGAAGGAAGAGAAGAAGAAGAAACTGATTCACAAGACGAGGAAGAAGGGGAAGCAGCCTGCGAAGAGTAGGAAGAGTGTGAGATCTGCCAAGGATGTAGCGAATGACGAGCCCACGACGCCGGCGATTGAGACGATTGAGCAGCTGGAGAGTCCTGGGGAAGGGGGACCGTCGAATTGGCAGTCGAGCGCGAAGCCAGGCAAGACATCTCGGGAATTGCGCACACAGGATATGCTCCGGTATATCCAAAGGAAACCCCACACACCGTTTTCGAAGAAAGCGCGCATGTTCCTTCTCTCGCTAGCGCTGTGTCACACTTGCTTGCCTGAGATTCAAGAAGACGGCAAGACACACTTCATGGCTTCATCCCCAGATGAGCTTGCATTAGTCCAGGCAGCGCAAGATATGGGTTTCTTGCTCATCAACCGCGACGTTCACACTATTACCCTCAAGATCATGCCATCTGGATCCGACGGCGAGGCTGTCTCCGAGATCTATGAGATCCTGGATGTCATCGAATTCTCCAGCAAGCGAAAGCGCATGTCGATCATCTTGCGATTTCCAGATGGCAGGATATGCATCATCTGCAAAGGTGCCGACTCCATTGTCATGCAACGTTTGAAGCTGGCTACGCTGGCGAACAAGAAGATGGTCGAGATTGAGCGACGTGCCAACATCCGAAAGAGCATGGAGGCTCAACATGCGATTGCGCGGATGAGCGAACACGCTGAGCGACGGAGTAGTGTGGCCGGTCGTATGAGCAGTGTTGGCGGCCGGAAAAGCATGACTATCGGTCAGGCCGCGAGGGCTAGTCTCAATCTAGGTCGTCCGTCTTTCGCTCCTAGTGTGGGCGGACGAGGCTCCATGTCCGCAAGAGACGAAGTAGATCAATGGCTCCGCGAGCGTGAGAACGACCGCATGGACATGTCGTCTCTCGACGAAGACTCGCCAATGCAGACACCCATGATAACACCCCGCCAGTCTGGTCTCGATCGCTTCAGCATGGCCTTTTCCTCAGCCCGAAGCTCAATGCAACTGGAAGACATGGAAGCTATGGTCGACGAAGGTGTAGCTGGCGACGACACCCTAGTCATCGAACGCTGTCTCCAACATATCAACGAATTCGCTACAGAAGGCCTCCGAACCCTCCTCTATGGCTACCGTTTCCTGCACGAATCCGAATACCAATCCTGGAAAGCGGCCTACCTCTCCGCCACCACCAGTCTAGTCGATCGCACCCGTCTCATCGAAGAAGCCGGCGACCTAATCGAGCAAGACCTCGACCTCTGCGCCGCCACCGCCATCGAAGACAAACTACAAGCCGGCGTACCAGAAGCCATCGACAAGCTGCGCCGCGCCCAGATCAAAATGTGGATGCTAACAGGCGATAAGCGCGAAACCGCCATCAACATCGGCTACTCGTGCCGTCTAATCAAAGAATTCAGTACGGTAACTGTGCTCGACCACGAAACCGGTCTTGTCGAACAAACCATCACCTCCGCCATCCAGGCCATTACCAGCGGCACAGTCGCCCACTCCGTCGTCGTGGTAGACGGCCAGACACTGTCTCGTAT